TGCTGCGCCGCGTGCCACTACTTATGTGGTTCGCGGGCTCGGCGTCGTGCGGCAGCTGGTAAGTGCGCACATACTGCCGGGGTCGGGCGGCTGGCTGACCAGGGGACGCGGAGGTCCGCCGCGTGCGGGTGGGTGGGAAACCAAGACCGCAAGCGAGCGTGCGGGGCCCGGCTCTGAGCCGCGGACCTGGACTAAGGCGGCGTTGGAGTCCGGTTGTGTCGCGGTTGCGAAATTCACGTTTCTGAACCGCTCATGCAGCTTTTTCTGGGTGTGAAAGTAGCCGAGGGCGACTGGGGATTGCAGAGAAGGCCGGGGCGAGCAGTCGGCGGCGCACCTTCCTATGTCGAGAACATGCCTTGATTTCGGCCTGCGCGTGGGGGATCCTGGGGGATCAGCCCGGGTAGATTAGACCTCTTCTTGTTTAGGGGTCTTGCCGGCCTAGAGCCAGTGCAGTAGGGGCGGTGCTGCCCTCGACTGCCTCTGGGATACATCTCCTCATGCTTCAGTATTTCCCCTGGGGAAATGACATTGCCCTTCGGAAAGGTTGGACCAGACCTCGGCCTTCTGGACTGTTTCCCCAAACTTCCTCTTTCGAAATCTTTTCTACTTGAGAAGTTGGAAAAGTGGCATCTCGGGGTTGCTTTTCTTTGTTGACTGGTGAAGTTGGGCGTTTTTGTAGCTTTCAATTAACGAAACTAGTTGAGCATTTGCTGTGAGCCAGGAATTGAGCTGGGTAATTGAGCCAGGTAGTTAGCTGAATCATGGTCCCTGCCCTAGGGGAATTCACTGTTGCCATATGAAAATACCAAATGTTATCATGTGTGTAACAACCTGTCTGATTAGAATGTCAGCCCCGGGGAGTACAAAGGATGAAATGGTTACTTCTATGTGGGAGGAAGGTAGGAGTCAGGATAGGTGTCCCAAAAGAGGTAGTATTTGACTGAACCTTTAAAATTTCTTAGTTCACTGGTTTCTAAAAAGTACAAATGAACTGCATGCTGATTTATATACAGAAATTAATAGTAAAAGAATCCATGGAAGTGTTAATATCTTTAATGAAAATACTCACAATTATCACTGCACAAGTGAGAGTCCACTTGGTACAGATGTTTTTAATTACAAATGATCATGGCTAGAAAGAACTAGAGCACTTTAAAGGGTATAAGAAAAGCAGATATAAGGAACAGCCATTACCCCTAGTGCTTAGCTCACCCAAGGAAAAACCTCTCTCCACTGTCCAGGACTGATTGAGACCTTGATAGAGGGGAAGGACACAGTCATGGCTCATTAAATGGCAAGAAGTCAGTGGGAATCTGTGGTAGTGGAACTTGCTAGAAATCCACCCTACAGAACCTGCTGGCACTTCTAGGGTGCTGGGGAAAGCTATTCCTGCGGAAATGTCTCCTGGAAGCCTCTGTTACAAAACAGCCCTGTAGGTGCTAGGGAAAACTATTGGCTGCTGGGTGCTTCTGGCCCCCAAACAAAGCAGGAGCAGGTGCTGGAGAAGGTGTGGTGCTGCAGAAGTATACTAGATAGCGCACTGGAACCACAAAGCAAAACTCATTCCTCTTTCAGTGCCTCTGCAGGGCTTTCTATCTACACAGCTTGTCTTCCTGATAGATAACAAAGGAAAAATATTTTTAACGCCAAGATCTATTTTCTCAGAGTAGGCAGTGAAGGGTGAGTTTAGAGCTGAATGGCAGTACACTGATAACTGGCCCAAGGTCGTATGAGGTTGTAAGATCAACAAATTCATCAGTAACAGCAGTAGGGTAGAGTCTGCCCAGGCCCAGATGTCTTCACTGACTAATTGCACGAAATATTTAAAGAATTAATACCTCTTCTTCACAAACTCTTCCTAAAAAATAGGAGAGGAGGGAGCATATCCCAACTCATTCTTTGAGGCCAGTATTAACCTGATATCAAAAGCAAAGATATCATAGGAAAAAAAAAAACTCAGTATCTTCCGTACACCTGGGTCAGGCTCTAGGCATCACTTAGTTGTCAGTCTTAAAACAACTGTGACAGGGTAGAGGTTAGCTCTTCTTCAAGCTTCCGAAACCTACCCCAAATCTCACTCCAAAACCAAAAATGATACTTTACCCCCCAATACATGCAGCATTTTAAAAACTGCTTTACACACTATATATTTCAGACACTTTAAATATAGTTATTTTTAGTAAATTTATTAATTGTGCAACCGTCACCAAAATCCAGTTTTAGAACACTTTAGTGACCCTAAAAATATCCCTCATGCGCATTTGTAATCAACTCCCGTTCCCACCCCAGCTCCACATAATGACTAATCTACTTTCTGTCTCATAGGCTATAAGCCTTTTCTGGACATTTCATACAGATGGAATCATACAACTTATAGTGTTTTTGTTCTGGCTTCTTTCACTTACCTTGATGTTTTTAAAATTCATCTATGTTTGTAGCATGCATTAGTAGCTCATTACTTTTTATTTCTGAGTAGTATTCTGTTGTATAGATACACTACATTTTGTTTATCCATTCAGGTTTTCACTTTTTGGCTCCTGTGAATAATGCAATTAACAATTGCATACAAGTCTTTTTGTGGATGTATGAGTTCATTTCTCTGGGAAAGAACTACTGGGCTCTGTGATAAATTTATATTTAACTTTTCAAGAAACTGCCAAACTTTTCTAAAGTTGCAGCACCACTTTACATTTCCACCACCATAAAGGTTCCAGTTTCTCTACATCCTCACCAATACTTGTTATTGTCTTTTTTATTACACCAAGTGTGAAGTGTTATCTCATTGTGGTTTTAATTTGAATTTCCCTAAGAGTGATGTTGAGCATCTTTGCATGTCCTTAATGGCCATCTGTATGTCTAATTTGGTGAAATGTCTGTTTAGATATTTTACCCATTTTTAAAGTATGTTGTCTTCTTACTGAGTTATAAAATGTTTTAAAATGTATTCTGGATATAAATTCTTTATGAGGTATATAATTTGCAAATATTTTTTATGAGTCTGTGAACTGTCTTTCCATTTTCATAATGGTATCTTTT